GCATTACACAACCCAAAAGGCATCCTTCTGTAAGCAAAGATACCATAAGGGCATGTGAATGTTGTCTTTTCTTAATCTTCAAGAGCACTAGGGATCTGATTATATCCATTTAGGAAACAATAATACGCATGTCCCGCTAGCCTTTCCAACATTTGATCAATGAATGGAAGCGGAAAATGATCCTTCCTTATTGCTTCATTTAGCTTTCTATAGTCGATGCACAGCCTCCAACCCGTAACTATCCTGGTCCGTATCAATTCATTACTTCCACTCTTCATTACTGTGATACATCCTTTCTTTGGAACCACTTGCACTGGGCTTACCCAAGGGCTATCTAAAATAAGGTAGATGATTCTTGCATCTAAGAGTTTTACCACTTCTTTTCTCACCACTTCCTTCATAAAAGGATTTAATCTCTATTGTGGTAGCACTCTAGGCTTGGCATCATCTTCCATAAGTATCTTGTGCATACAAAAGGATGGAGAAATGCATTTAATGTCAAAAATGGTCTACCCAATGGCTAATTTATGCTCTCTTAACACCCGAATCAATCTCTCTTCCTCCACTTTACTCAACTTCGCATTGATGATTATCGAAAAAGATTCTGTTTCATCAAGATACACATATTTAAGGTGAGATGGTAAAGGCTTCAATTCAAGCTTTGGTGGTTCTTCCGTTCTTGCCTTTTCCTTATCTTTTTCTATGTCAAAATCTTCAAATTCTGGATCTTGGCTTGTGTTTATAGGTAGAGTGCTTCCAAGTACCTAGCACACTCATTCTTCTTTTGCTCGTCTACCTAGGTTGTTTTGGATTGGGCAATGCAAACTTCTAGAGGTAGTTGAGGAGTGATCTCTTCAATGGCATTCGCTACAAGTTTGTCCACCAAATCCACACTAAAACATGAATCAACCTTTGATGGAAATTTCATAGCTTCGAAGACATTAAAAGTAACCGTTTCATCTTTGACCCTTAGGATTAACTGTAAAACCCCTCCCTAGTCGGGTATTTCCTAAGTATCCCTTGGCTATTGAGAACCTAGAAAACGCATGCCTAGGAAAGAAGTTTATTTTAAAATCCTATTTAAAGAATAAACTTGTAGTTTAAAACATATATATAGATATATGTTTTAAATTTTTTTTTTTCTTAACTATAATAAGTTCATTGTATAATAATAAAAAAAAAAAAATATGTAGTTTCCTTTCTTGGAGTAAATTATGAAATCCATAGTAATACTTACTAGAACATACACACTTTTATAAAATTTACTAGCAATTTGATTTCCTTTATTAATACAACATATTTACTCCATTATGGAACATGGACATAATTACTACATTATGAAATATGAACATAATTACTACACTAAATATTAGCAAAACCATTCAATAGTCATCATTAAAGCATCCCCTCATGCTCATAGCGTCCCTTGGAATCCTCTCCCAGCTTCATGCCTTAATCCGTACCTGCAAAACATTTTAAAACATTTCGTGGGGTGAGCGCTAATCGCTCAGTAAGGAATATGGCCATTTATAAACTATTAAGGTTCATTATACAAGTAAATTACTTAGGACTTTACCTACCTACAAAACATGACCTTCATTCTTTGACATAACAAGTTCATAAAACATATCATACATTTTGGACTTTTCTCATGAACATAAGTCATAACATAATCATACATAATATAACATAGAACATATATGACTTATGAAATATTCATGTACATGGCATGCTTATTTCTTTTGTCTTTATACTTGATGGTTTCATTAGTCTTTGTTATCCGATCGGATTCATTTAAACCATTACCTTGTTCTTGGTCGTCACCTCAAAGGACTCATGGTTTCCATAAGAATTCCATTCCTCTGATCTTGGTTTATACCTCAAGAGACTCATGGAATTCATTCTTTAACATTTCATAAATTTTTCATAAGACAACTAAATAAGCTATATGCATTACCATTATGAATGCAAACATATGGACTAACATATTCCATGCTCAATCATACTATATTCTCCTACTAAACTTCTTAACTTAATTCATTCAATTTCTCATACAATACAAAGAATTTCAGTAGTAAGATTATTCAGGGGTTTATTAGAATTAGAAACAAATGGGAATTTCCATTAAGAAGGTGGATGCCATACAGTTCGTTACTTTCAAGCAATTTTCCATTATCTTCTAATTCGAATTTATTTTTGGCTAAAACATAAAAGTTTTAGGTCTGTTTCTCAAATTTTTAACACTTCAAGAATCAACTCAATCGGACTTCTATAACTTCAGTTATGACTGATTCAGTGAAGCATGTACAGTATAAGTCTCAAAACACCAAATCCGAATTCTATTCATTTTAACCATGTCACCTTCATTTGCACATTCATATCATTTGCCATATCATTCTAAGTATAAAAGGCCATAAAAACCTCCCTTTTTACAGAACCAAAAAGTGCCAAAACATCGTCCAACTACAAATCTCTTAATTGGCATAATCATCCTCCATATGCACACATACACCAATCAACACACCCATTTAAACAATCCATAACCAAAACATAGCATCACACTCATATTAACATAAATAAATGTAAGTTTCATAAACCCTAGGTGTTATCAATTGTAGTCATAAGGGAGATTTTTTCCTTACCTTAGTATTCAAAGCACAAAGGTACTCCTCCTTGGCTCCAAAGTTTCACCTTTCTACCTTACACACATAACCACTTATGAATTTCTCTTTTAACTAAAAAATTCAGAAAAACTAGGGTTTTGAAACTCACCTTTAACCCTGAAATTGAAGTTCTTTAAGGGTGGATGGTGATCTCCTTTGAAAATCAACTTGAAATCCTAAGAAAATTTGAGAATAAAAGCTTGGATTAGTGGCTTTTATGGTGGATTTGAGAGATGAAGAAGAAGATGATATATTTGGGGTCTCCAAGGCCGACTACTCTCTCTTTAAACCTTGTAAATATTCATTCCATTGATACTCTAATGTGATTGGTCAATAAAAGTTAGATATAAAGGTCATTTGGCATAAATTTTTCATATAAGGGCGTTTTGGTCATTTCTACCACAACATAAAGATAAGTACTCATTTAATGCCATTTGACTTCTTTAAAACACTTAACCATTAAGCAATTCTATTAGGTAAATGACTAATTTACCCTTGGTGCACTTTTATGGACACTTAAATCATATGGTTTTGTATGAAAAGACCATTATACCCTTGGTTACCGTTTATGCCATTTAACCTTATCAATCAACTTTATGACCATTCTACCCTCATTTCTCTTCAATGACATCACCCTTTACACTTTATAATGGCCACATCTCGAAATACATGTAAATTGACTATTTCACCCTTCCATTCAAAAAAGAAAATTACTTGAAAAGGTTAATTTCATACCTTAGGGCATCGGAATAACAACGTGGGGTTTACATTAACTTTCCTTTTTGGACACCAATCAAAGTCCTTCCTGTGGCAAGGAATGGTCTTCCCAAAATGAGTGGTATTTCCTTGTCTTCTTCCATATCCAACACAACAAAGTCAGTAGGGAAGAGAAATTTATCCACTTTAACTAGTACATCTTCAATAATGCCCCATGGATGCTTAATGGATCAATTTACGAGTTTCAAGGATATGGTTGTGGACTTCACCTCACGAATCCCTAGTTTCTTGAAAACAGAAAAAGACATTAGGTTAATGCTAGCACCCAAATCACATAAAACTTTATCAAATGTAATATTTCCTATAACATAAGGGATAGTGAAAGTCCCTGGATCTTTAAGTTTTGGTGGTTCTTTTGCAAAATGGCACTGCACTCCTCTATAAGCATCACCGTTTCTTCCTCTTCCAACTTCATTTTGTTTGAAAGGATCTCTTTTAGAAACTTAGCATAACTTGACATCTACTGCAAGGCATCTGTAAAAGGAATGTTAATTTGCAGTTTTTTAAATACATTAAGGAATTTCATAAACTTCTTATATTGATTTTGCTTTTTGAGCCTCTGAGGGAAAGGAATTGGAGGAGTGTGATGTGCCAACTCTGGTGGTATCTCAGGAAATGGAAATTTTTCCTTCTTTTGCTTCGGAATCTTTTCCTTCTTAGGTTCTTCTTTTCTAGGACTTGTTGGCTTCTCTTGAACACTTCATCGTCTTCTTCCTCAGATTCTTCCTTCTTCTCTAGTAGGTTCTCATCCTTCCCTTTTTATTCAACCCCTTCCAACATTGTTCCACTTCTTAAAGTTATGGCATTTGCTTGTTCACGTGGATTTGTCACTATGTTACTTGGTAAGGAACCTTGAGGTCGCTCATTCAACTTTTTGGCTATTTGACCCATTTGTACCTCCAAGTTTTGAATAGACGCTCCTTGGTTTCTGAAATTTTCCTCGTCTCATTCATAAAACTTGTGGTCTCTTACATGAACTTCCTGAACATATCTTCCAATTTCAACATTCTTTGCTCACATGGTTGATGGTTCACCCCTGATTGATGGTTTGGCACCATCCTTTGATTCAACTGATTGTTTTGATTGCCCCAGGACAAGTTTGGGTGATTTCTCCAACCAAGATTGTAAGTGTTGGAGAAAGGATTGCTATGTTGTCTTTGATTCCTAGCCAAATAGTTGAATTTTTTTGAAGATGAGGAGGGTGAAGTAAAGGTGTTCCTCACTTGGTAGTCAATGCTCACATGGTTATCTACACAAAAATCACATGTTACTTGAGGTGTTTGAATGGAATTAACATGCATACCGTCTATTTGTTTCTAAAGTACGGCAAGTTGGGCTAAAATGGTTGTGTAAGCATCAACTTCATAAATAGCCATGGACTTCTTTGGCACTATTTTGGCATCCGGTCTTTGGTAGTTGTTACTTGCTAAGACATCAAGGAACTCTTAGGCTTCCACCGGTGTCTTGTTCTATAAAGCTCCTCCAGCTGCTGTGTCTACCATTGTTCCAACATTTGGTAGCAAACCCGAATAGAATGTTTGGACTTGCATCCAAACAGGCAAACAGTGATGTGGACACTTCCTCAACTTTTCCTTGAATCTCTTTCATGCTTCATATAATGATTCATGGTCGCCTTGTATAAATGAGGTAATGTTTTCTCATTTTTGTTGAAAGAGCTGGTGGAAAGTACTTGTGCAAGAACTTTTGTGCTACATCATTCCATGTTGCTATGGTTCCAGCAGGCAATGACATTAGCCATTCTTTTGCCTTATCTCTCAATGAGAATGGAAACAGGCGCAATCTAGTAGCATCATTTGTCATCCCGTTGTGCTTGAATGTGTCACAGATTTCTAGGAAAATGGCTATGTGCATATTCGGATCTTCTTTTGGATCACCCCCAAACTGTACTGATTACTGAATCATCTAGATTATAGTTGGCTTTATCTCGAAATTATTCACCTCAACAGGCGGTCCCGTAATGCTCAGACTACACTCATCAACTTGTGGAAGTGAAAATTCCCTCAAAGTCTATTTTCAACCATCTCAATGACCTCGCCTCTTGTTCTATTCTCTCTCTCATGAGTCTTCTCGCAGTTCTTTCAATCTCTAGATCAATAGGAACCACTGGATGATTTCTTGCTTTTCGCATAAACTACACAGGAAAGAAAAAAAGCATGAGATCATAAGCAATCAAAAAGAAAAATTAAGCTAGAAACAATTAAAACTAAAAATTAAACTCCAATTTAGCGAAAACTAGAAAACTTCAATATTAGCACAAAATCAATCCCCAGCAATGACGCCAAAAACTTGATGCGTGATTTGACAAACATGCATATGTAGCAAGTGCACTAGTCGCAAAAAGTAATAAAGTGATGAATCGAGTATCATTCCCAAGAGGATTGAGTGCTAAGTACTGATTTTCCTATTTCTATAACTAATTGAAGAACACAAAAAATGTTTGGATTTGCGGGAGAAAGTAAAGCTAAAATGTAATACTTTCTCTCTCTAGCTAGTATACTCATAAAATAATAGTAAAACTCACTAGATATATATAAGAAAATATACATGTAGATGAGTATAAAATAATGGGCCCGTATCTAATTTTTCTTTATATACAAATCTTTACATAATATAATACAGTCACAAAACAACAACTCGACAGTGTTGCCAAACCCTTCCGCTTCTTGACATTCCAAGTGACCGCATCTCACCTACTACCTACAAAAACATTGAAAACAACCGGGTGAGCACTAATTGCTCAGTAAGTAAACATGCTATGCTACCCTTCTATCTCTGTTGCTCATATTCTGAATTTCTTTCCTTACATCACACTTCGCTATTCTTCTCTGTTCTTTCTCTGTTCTTTCTCTACTCTTTCTCTGTTCTTTCTCTATTTCTAATTTCTCATTACTCATGATAGTAGGCATGGTATCATGCATAGGTATGATGCTAATGCACAAATGCATAGGATGTGCATTTTCTTTTCTGTTTTTCTATTTTTCTTATTCTGTTTTATGTTTCTTTTCTTTGTATTTCTTTCTATGCTTCCTTTTTTTCTTTCTATTCTTTTCTTTCTATACTTTCTTTTCTTTCTTTCTTTCTATTCTTTCTTTCCTTGCTGATCGGACTCGGTTGAGGCATGGATTTGGGACCCTGGCCGTGTGAGTGTATTCTCTAATTATGGATACAGTCCTCATCCACATGCACTTCTAACAGACTGTACAATTCTTCTTTCTGATTCTAAGGTCGCTCACTAAAGGCGGCGTGCATGCGGGGCTATGTCACTCACGAGCTCCCCATCGCAATAACCTTTTCTTCTTTTATCTTTTTACATTTCTTTAAATAAAAATTCAGATTTAAACTTTTTTAATATTTCTCATTTCTTTCGATTTGTTCTTTAACTTTAATATTCATTATTGCTCTTTAATGCTGTTATGAGTATGTATGCATGTAGATGGGCTCATGCTTATTATTTTTTCTAAATTCACATGTTTGGATGCAAGAATGCAATATGGAATGTTAACATGTCATTCTCCACCATCTACAAACTCATCTTAAGATAACAAATAATCATACTCATACATTCACTTCTCTTTGACATTTTGTCAAACAATTTATATGCATACTGTTAGAGTAGATGCCCTATAGCCAATCAATTATTGTAGAATTGACTCTTTGTAATAATGTTCATTAATCAATAAAAGGCATTTTATTCTATATCGCGTAAATCATTGTTATTGCAATATGTATTGATATATGTCCTTAGAATGGTAGAACCGTGACGAGGGTATCAAGTGTTTCAAATCTTGATAGTGAGAACCCTATGAGCACATATGGTGGCCATTCTAGGAACGTCCGTAGCCCCAGTATTATTCTGAAGTAAGGGCACAGATAATACGGTAAGGCTATCATAGTGTTGAACGACCCTGTCGAAAGGCAGTGACTGATCTCACTTGTCAAGGTTGTTTGGTGACAACCTGGTGCAACACATGGGTGTTTGTTGTAGGCGATTACACCACAGCAAGTTCACTGGACTGACCCACCAGAGGATTCCATATGGATGGTAACCCCAGTGTCTATGGAACAAATCCTCTAACGAATGGTGGTGCATGTGATCCTTAGACTTGAGATCACCGGAGCGCCTTGTGCACCGATTGGTGTAGTTTGACACTAGCCTAACGCAGTTCTTTTCAGAGCTGTCAATACGGTGGTGATTGGCTGCATCAAGGAGTGTATCAAGACTATGGTGGATTGACAGAGGATTTATCACTCCCGGGTACGGGAGAAAGTTATCTCACGGCGCAATTCAGTATATGGCAATGACACTAAAACTGTGGCCACAGTGGGATTGAGTTGTTGCTCTATCCAGTTTATAATACGGGTCATTGGTCCAGAAACTGAATAAATAATATCGAGAGTAACCGAAGGTTGACACTATTTCTATGCCTTCGTCTCGTCGAGATAACGTATGATGAAAGGATCGAATTGCACGGTAACCATATCGTTGACAGGTAGCTACTTTGCTGAATCCGAATCTATCGGGTGGCCATGATGCCTTGCTAGGGGCCAATCTTGGTCTGTGTATTAGTGAGACGATTAATTGGTGTTAATCGCAATACTATACACTGCCGATATGATGAGGAGCCTAAGGGTCACACACATAGAAGACAATTTAAGATGCAAGAAGAAAGAAGGGCGTTTTCGTCTTTTAAGGCGAAAGGGTATTTTGGTAATTTCACAGTGCAATTAAATTTGCTGAGGTCGTAGCCTTTATTTAATTTGTTAGAAAAATTAAATAAGTGAAATTACGTTTAAATGTGTGTTCGCACATATTTAAATATATTATCATTATTGTTAAATGTTAATATATATTTAAATATATATTAATTGATTTTAATTGAGATAATGATGGAAAATAAAATAAATCAAATTGGGAGTGTTTGGCAACATGAGGCGTTTGGGTTGGAGCCCAAGCCTATTCCATATGGGATTAGGGCAACTTAATTAACTATAAAAAGAAAAATGTGTTAATTAAATTTGACATGATTTTTCTTTGAAAAAGTACAGCAGCCCCTTTTGGAAAAACACTCCCACGACAGTAACAATTTTAGCCTAAAATCAATTCAATTGATTTTGTTTTTCTTCTTAATCTTGAAGCCAAAGAGGATCTAGCAAATACCTCTTTGGTTCTTTTTGAGATTGTCTTCGTGTGGACTACACAGGTTCGATCCTACACTTGGATCGGTAGCAAAACATTCGTCGACAAATTTGGAGGAGCCTTCAACGTGCGTTTGTTTCTCTTAACTCATGTTTAATATTTCTGCAGATTATTATTATGATAAAATTGTAAAATTATACCCTTGATCTTGGCTCATGTAAACGATCCCTAAGTTATATTATTTTTGTTTCCGCTGCGTATACGGGACCGTTTACTAACACACACATCAACTCTAATTTGGCTATACTTCTACCTCTCTTCTAAGCCACCAAAATTCGGAATAAAACACACCAAGATTAATGTCAAACCTGTCCGGGATTCACACTCCATAAATTCTACTCCAATTCTTCCATAATTCATCCAAACTCTCATCAAACATCAAGTACACAAACATAACTTCTTATGGATAAATTCTAACAATCATTCAACATCCATTCCATCAACAATTCTTCATATATAAGCACATACATGCATAAAAGAAGTTCTCTACACAATATTACTCCAATCATGACTAGGGTTAGTAGTTTTCCTTGATCCAACTCCCTTTCTCTTAAACCCTATGAACACAAATCATAAGAATTCAATACTTTAAAAATTAACTCTCATATCTGAGTGCAAGGATCTTACCTAAGGATGTTTGGGATTGAAATTCCACTAAAAGTGAACCAAGATCTATGAATTTCCTTTGAAAAATGATTGAAGAAATTTGAGAGAACTTGGGTGGAAAGTGGCGTGAATAGAAGGGGAAAAATGGCTAGGGTTTCATTCTTGAACTCTTAATATAACAAAATATTACTTATAGTTTCCCATTTTACCCTTACACTTTCTATAAAATTTTATCTATATCCCTTAGTCAATTACCATAATGCCCTCATTTTTATTAACTTCTCTATGTTATTCTACTTCTTTTCACTCCCCACTTTTTCAACTAATTATGAGTAAAAAGACCATTTTACCCCTAATGAAGGTTTAAGGAATTTTCTTCACACTTGTTCAAGATAACTTTAACAAATTCAATTAAGAGTATTAGGGCATAAATAAAACTACGTACCTTGATGTAGGCGTTACATAAAATCTAAAGCACAAAATTAAACAACTGAAATTAAAAGTAAACAATTTAACACAATATCAATTCAAGGCAAGAGAGGTTAGGGTTTTGATTTCACTAGGATTCTCTAATTTAATCTACAATTTATGTTACTTTCAAGTTCACATGCAAGGATTATAAATCGGATTCCCTAATCTATAGAATATACCTTCTCAAGTATATTCTCTTACTTATGCCCATTAAGCTTCTGCACCCAACAATATGAACATTAATAGTTCAAAGTCCATTAAGTGGAATCCTAAAGAGATCTCATAGATCGTTGAACCTACCTCTAGCGTTCATTTAATCTACAGTATTTACTCTAAGAAACTAATACATGAATCACTTCTCAGTCTCATC